TGATGATCAACATGATCTTACTCTACCCAACCCTGAGTATATTACTAATACAGCAGTAACAGCACCTAATCCTGGCTACATTACTAATATAACACCTAAGGCTAATCCTGGGTATAGCAGTACTGCTATCAAAGAAGGAGAAGGAGAGAGAGAGAGGAGAGAAGAATTGGATTACAGTTATGCCACTGTTAATAAGTTCCTCAAGAAACCCACTGAGGACACTGAGTATAATAAACTCCAGCATGAATAGCATACATAGCTGCTTCAGACTGCTTGTGTGTATATTGTTGATTTTTATTTTGTATACAACTAAACTATGTCCTCTTTAATTATCATGACTCAGTTTTTCAAAATATATTCTAGATCTTAATTCTATTTTTAATATGTACATTCAAGGGAACACTCTCCTTCAATGGATGTGTTCAGTTATGGTGTCCTCCTTCTAGAGATGATAACACGACGTATTCCTCTACCAGAAGAGAGAGTAGGTCTTATTGATGGTATTAGAAGAGCCTCGTTTAGGTCTCTTGTTCAACGCTGCCTGATAGTTGAGTACAGACACTGTCCAACAATGAATAATATTATAACTGAATGACACTGTTATAGTCCTGCTGTAAAATAAATTACTATTGTTATTATTATTATTATTATTGTATTGTTAAAAAGTTTAATAATTTTGGTATAATTTTGTAGTGTTTTGCTCTTTTTGTTACAAATTAGATTTTAGTAATTAGAGCTGTGGGTGGTGAACAAGACTAGTGCAGCAGCCACACCTTCGTCTAAACTACAAAAGATGAAGCTACATTTTGTGATTGTACTGTTGACATTGCTTGCTACAGTGACTCAAGCTTTTTCTACAGGTTTGTACAGTATTTTGACAAAACTTCAGTTCTTGTGTATAGGTTTTAGTTTGTATTTAGGGAGAATAGTTCAACCCAATAACTCAATAATTTATGTTTCATTAGCCAGATGCAATAGCTCTAATTCAGATCGTTTATGTTGTATTACTTCAGATGAGCATGAAACAATGATTTCTAATGGTGATAAAGGGATGTATATGTGTCAAGTGCATAATAAAACATTTTTATTGGCCATATATGGTAAGCTGTATTAAGTTATAGTTTTATAGTTATAAAGTTTGCTCATAGAAGATCTACCAGTATATGATTTGCCGCCATTGTCACTTTCTGATTATTACCTGAGCCTTTTACAGAATGAAGCTTTGTTATATTTTAGAGCTAATTATGGACCAGTCAATAGCATAAACTGTTCATTTAATGATCAAGAAATGCAACCGGTTCCTTTCATACAGACAGTGGAATCAAATTATTCAACTTTGATGGAATTGATTGTGCCACTTAATCAAAGTGAATCATGGTACAATTGCTCAGTATCAAGCAACAATATAGTGCAATCATCATCCCAATTAAAATATGTGAATTCTCTCATATGTTCGGTTGATACATATTTAAAAGGTATTTGATAATGCATATAGATTATAAGTAAGTATTCCTATCATTTTGATAGCTAATATAACATCAAAAGATACAGCAGCAGATGTTACCTGGACAACTTATACATATTGCAACAGATCTCATACCGATGACGAAGATGTCTTCAATAGTCAAGTTGGATTTGAACTATTTCATAAGGTTGAATTTTTTTCATATTATTAAGTTTATAGACTCACTGTAGTTCTCAGAGGACCCAGATTCTTATTCACCAACGTCCTGTATGCCAGTATCTACATTAACATTATATTCAACACAGGCAGCTACCATATTCCCTACAGTTACCATATTCCCTAGTACTGAAACCACCTCAGCACAAGAATCACTTTATGCTGGAATTGGAGTACTTGCATTTACTAATGTCATCACACTAATTGTTCTACTATTAAGTTTGTTATGTTTACTGAATCAAAGAAAGAAGAAGAGATTGTAAGTGTTTTTCATCATTTTTTCCACTAAAAATATTTTGCAGGAACATAAGTGAGAGGGAACAAACAGTACAAAGCACATCTCCTCAAACTGAAGCAACAAGGTATGTATAAATTAATAAAGATATATAATAACTGTTATCTTATCAATAGTCAAAACATTGAAACTAGTCCAACCAGTAACAATAACACAAACATTACTACTGGTAATGACATATACTCCTCAGTTGAAGATGAAGTTGATCATCATCATCATCATCACCGCCCACCAGCAAGAGTAGCCAGTCAATATGAAGTACCTCTGGACTTATTACAGCAAGCACATGTTCCTCTCCCTCCTCCTCCTCCTCTTTATGCTACACTTGATGATCAACATGATCTTACTCTACCCAACCCTGAGGATATTACTAATACAGCAGTAACAGCACCTAATCCTGGTTATATTACTAATATAACACCTAAGGCTAATCCTGGGTATAGCAGTACTGCTATCAAAGAGGAAGGAGGAGGAGGAGATATAGGAGAAGGAGAGACAAGAGAAGAATTGGATTATAGTTATGCCACTGTTAATAAGTTCCTCAAGAAGCCCACTGAGGACACTGAGTATAATAAACTTCAGCATGATTAGCATATACAAGTTATGCATAGTCTGCTTGTGTGTGCACATGTATATTATTGTTGATTTTTATTTGTATACAACTATGCATCATGCAGTTAAAACTATGTCCTCTTTTATTATTGTGACTCAGTCTTTTGAAATAAATTCTTAATCTTAATTTTAGTTTTTGAATATATATATATAGTACATTCAAGGGAGCACTCTCCTTCAATGGATGTGTTCAGTTATGGTGTCCTCCTTCTAGAGATGATAACACGACGTATTCCTCTACCAGAAGAGAGAGTAGGTCTTATTGATGGTATTAGAAGAGCCTCGTTTAGGTCTCTTGTTCAACGCTGCCTGATAGTTGAGTATAGACACCATCCAACAATGAATGATATTATAACTGAGTGACACTGTTAGTCCTGCTGTAAAATAAATTACTATTGTTATTATTATTATTATTGTATTGTTTAAAAAGTTTAATAATTTTGGTATAATTTTGTAGTGTTTTGCTTTCTTGTTACAAATTAGATTTTAGTAATTAGAGCTGTGGGTGGTGAACTAGACTAGTGCAGCAGCCACACCTTCGTCTAAACTACAAAGATGAAGCTACGTTTTGTGATTGTACTGTTGACATTGCTTGCTACAGTGACTCAAGCTTTTTCTACAGGTTTGTACAGTATTTTGACAAAACTTCAGTTCTTATGTATAGGTTTTAGTTTGTATTTAGGGAGAATAGTTCAACCCAATAACTCAATCATTTATGTTTCATTAGCCAGATGCAATAGCTCTAATTCAGATCGTTTATGTTGTATTACTTCAGATGAGCATGAAACAATGATTTCTAATGGTGATAAAGGGATGTATATGTGTCAAGTGCATAATAAAACATTTTTATTGGCCATATATGGTAAGCTGTATTAAGTTATAGTTTTATAGTTATAAAGTTTGCTCATAGAAGATCTACCAGTATATGATTTGCCGCCATTGTCACTTTCTGATTATTACCTGAGCCTTTTACAGAATGAAGCTTTGTTATATTTTAGAGCTAATTATGGACCAGTCAATAGCATAAACTGTTCATTTAATGATCAAGAAATGCAACCGGTTCCTTTCATACAGACAGTGGAATCAAATTATTCAACTTTGATGGAATTGATTGTGCCACTTAATCAAAGTGAATTATGGTACAATTGCTCAGTATCAAGCAACAATATAGTGCAATCATCATCCCAATTAAAATATGTGAATTCTCTCACATGTTCGGTTG